ATGGAATGATGATTCAAGAAAGTTAGGAATCAACTGGGTGCAATTAGAAGTCAAAGGAAGGGAAATATGATCATAACATCTTCACAAATCAATTCCCAATCGAAAAATCTATGCACCAGTTTTCAGCCTCATATTGGGACCCCCTTTTGGCATGGAAGATATTTTTGAAGAAAAGTTATAGCCTTTCGTGTTAGCTTTTCAATGCAACTTGAATCACCTCAATTGGACATCGGGAAAGAAAGTTATGGTCAAAATAGAAGTTGTCCGACGAAAGAAATGGTGACAACTATGCAGTCGCGTGGATGCCTTCCAAGAACTTTTGGGTCATTTTGGTTGAACTATGCGGTCGCATGGCTTATAATCATGCGGCTGCATGGGTATTTTTCGAGGACAAAATCCCAGATTCCTATTTTGACGTGGACACTTATGGAAACTTGTTTGGCACGCGTTTTTAAGCCCTAATCTCGACCCAGAACGTCATTCTTCCTCTCCACATCAATTTTCTCTCATCTTGGGTGAAAAAACTCCATAGAAGGCTAGAAATCCTTGGTGAAGCAAGGGAGGAACTCGATTGGTATCGATTATTTCAACGTTTCTTATGCTTGTAATATGATTTTCATTGCTAAACAATTCAAGATTTGGATTCCTTATTCTTATAAATATGTTTTGAGATTGGTTTAATATATATTAGATTTTCATGGATTTAATCATGTTCTTTCCATCGAATAACTGAAACATGTATTGAATTTCAATTTCAAGCATTGTTGTGATATTGATTTAACTTTTACTATATTTTGCATAGATTTAATCATGTTTTATCTATCGTGAAATGAACCTAATTGTTAAATTTCAATTTCAATTATTTATTGGTGTGATTCTCTACGACTTTATGCTTGATGTATAAGGTGGATTTAGAATCCGATTTCAATAGATTAAAGTGGGTATGTGTTATAGAAAATCCATATTTTAGAATTACTGTAGAATAAAATTGGGCCTTAATGTTGTATTCTCCAATTAAAATTTGATGAAAAATTTTTAATTGAGTACATAAATGCATAATTGATGTTGAATGATCCAAACCAATCGAGGGAATTCCGGCGCTTCACTATTTCATACTTTGATTCAAATCCCGTAAATTCACATATTAACATTTGAACACATTTCAAATTGATATATTATCTATTACACAACTCACAATGAAAATCCTAATTTGTTGGATCCTTTAAATAATTTCCCATCTCCCTATGGATACAACACCTCAAAACTATACTACAATCACCGCTTTACACTTTGGGCGTAATCAAGAGGACTAGAGGGAAATTTCTCAGGAGGTTCTATTTGCACAAAAATGCGAAAACTAGTAAAGTGAAGGCAACAATGAAGAATGGTGTTCTTGCTATAGCTATTCCTAAACTAGAGGTTAAGAAATCTAAGGCCAAGACTATTGAAATCATTGGTTAAAAATAAAAGCATTATTTTCAACTGTGTAGAAAGATTACGATGGATAGGATTTTTATATTATTCATCTCCTAGTTTTTGAAATATTTTTATTGTAATCATGTGTTTTTTCCATTTAATTTATACATTTGTTATCAAGCCACGGAACAAGAAGCTTGAAAAGCCCAAAAAGGGGAAACCTAACCATCAAAACAATCAGCAATTGAAAATCAAAATAGAAATTATCGTCACGTATCAAAACAACAAATCAATGGCCTTTCACCTATATTTTTAAAAGGATTTTTTTGTGTTTAATTTTCAAATTCTACAAATGATCAACATATATATGCAAGTAATAAGTTTTGAAATTTGATTCAAATAGTTCAGATTTTATTTGAGTATTCAATAATAGATTATTGATTTCACAATTATTCGGTAAAATGAATGTAATTGTCATCTAATTTCTAACTTTTTGTGTATATTTGAACTGCTGCAATATTTTGTAAATATGATTTCATATTCATTTATATGGTGTTTGTGATAATTTAAATAAATATGAATTCAAAGTTTGCATTTACATCAAAAGTGATATGGTGTAAGAATTTAGTTTTGCTGTTTATGAATTAAGGCGCTTTAATCTATAAGTGATGTCCTGTCACTTTTTTTAAATAAAGCCTTACAATATTTTCAGCTTTAGGTCTCTCATAAAGTAGACGTCTTAGTTTCAAATTCTAGAAGATGTAATAGAAATTCGTGAGAGATAAAAAAAAATGTAAATGCCAATCCTAAGCGTAAAGTACATAATAAGTTAGCAATTTGGACACAAAAACTCGAGTTGTTATATGAGAACAATATAGATAATATAACAGTTGAAAAATCATGAATGAAATAGGAAGTAAAAGCTTTTTACGTTGTTACTATGAAGAAGAAGCCACAAAAGAAAATAAAGTTGGAAGATTTATAAAACTTGATTGTTAGAATTTTTAATTTTGGATTGTCTTTCAATTTTTTTGCCAATATATAATAAATAGAATATATGTTATAGACTTATCAACATTATTTTTACTTTTAAAATAAAAATACTAGCAGCATTTCACTTTTGTATCTGGAATTGACATATCATATCACTTATATAGAATACAAGACTTAAAAAAGTTCAATATGTTTAAATGTCCTCTATAAACTCCTTGTTTTTAGATTAGTGTTATTTAATCCCATTGGGGTTGTAACCCCAGTCTAAATGACATTGATATGACATTAATTGATAGGTAGAATTAATTGATTCACTTAATTTCACATTTCAATTGTTAGGTTTAATTTTACATTTCATTTAATATATCATCTAATGTCACTTAAATTGGGGTAGCAACTCCAGTGGAGCTACATAACATTACTTTTATTTTTATGTCTCAACAATTACATGCAAAGCAAGAGTTTTATTTATTCCCTCCCCCCCCCCAGATTAATGCCAATTAAGGGTGACAACCTATTTTATTGATTTTGGGTCGTGCTGCGCATAATTAGCGGTGTCAACGAGTCAAGCCGAGCAAAAGCTAGGCCAAGAAATCAAGGCTCGGGCTTAGCTGGGGAGGATCGAATTTTTTTTTTCCAGATAAAGGCGGCAACCAAATAGGCAGCGTGTTGTTGCCTTTAAACATTTTTTTTTTTTTTTTTGAATTAGGTCTGTGAGCTCAAGCCGGCTAGCCGCACGAGCTGGGCCCAACACCCCAAGATGGAGCTCGATCTGAACCTCGGCTCGATTCTACCAGGCTCGAGCAGGGCCGACTAGGACTTTTTTTAGGTCGAGTCACGAGCAGTCCAAGCCGACGAGCCTGATTATCACCCCTAAGCATAATTACCTCTTTTTTTACCATAACTCATTAGTCATTACATATTCTGCTGGGCCCAAACAAAATAAAAGAAGAGGAACTTATGCAAAATCATAATTTTTAGACTCAAATACTATCTTGAAAAAAAAGAAAAAAGAAAATCAAAACTCAAGTGTTAATAATATAAAAATTATATATTCTAATATTTCTAAATTTGTATTAAATATTATAGGTTTATGAAGTAATTTTGAATTTAAAAGCTATTATCATCTTTAACGAATTTCAAATTTGAAGCTTTTAGCCTTGAATTATGTTACAATTCTGCACGAAGTCTCAGTTTAGGGTTTAGACATGTTTTGGATTAATTCATATATACATTAAACCAAAAAAATGATGTTACATATTTATGAATGACTATCAATGACACACAATCCTATCAGTTACAATCATGCAACGTAATATGTTGTAGTCACATAACTTATTACAATTATTTCATGTCACAACCACACGACCTCATTGGTCTCGACCAGTGGCGGATGTAGTATGCCGCCCTAGCTGGATTCGCCGGTGGGAAATTTTTTTTTTTTTAAAATAATAGACAAAAATTTTAGGTTATATAACTGGTAGTTCATTTTATTTTCAAACATCTCTTCAGCTTAATTGGTTAGAGCTTTCTTTTATATATTGTGAGTCATAGGTTCGATTCCTTTCCCTCCATTTCATTATGCAAAATTTTTATTTCTACAATATTTATCAAAATTAATTTCCTAAGGAAAGGATTCAAACCTATAACTTCTAAAATTATGATAATTGGAAGTTTAACCATCATGGCAATGGTTGAATTTTGAATCTAAATTTAACAAAATAATATATGTTAAGACATTATGAGAGTTTTCTTTTTTTCTTTTCTTTTTTTTTTCTTTTTTGGTTTTTGTCGTTTTAAATATTTTTATGCTTCAATAATTTATAAGATATGACTTATGAGTATTGAATTTTAATTTATATGTTATTTGAGAATTTGTTTATTGTGAATTGTGATATTAAAAATTAATTTAGGTATCGTGAAATGTGAATATGTGATTCATAAAAATTGAAAATGAGAAATTCGGGAATTTATAATTTGTGATGAAATGGTGTTGAGAATTGGAAATTGAAACTTTAATTATATTTTAAAATTAATTCTAATTACGTTTAATCTTTAATTAACGTTCATTTCTCATACTAATTATAGAATGATTTTTTCAACTGAATTTCAATTTAGTTCTTATAGTGGTGTATCTAAGCTCTCAACTACTTTTAATCAAGCAAACGATTTGTTAAGCATTGATAACACAAAGAAGTCTTATGTATCATGTAATTTATATTATTTCAGATTGTGTTGAAATATAATATGATATAAATATACGATTTTTACGTTTTAGTATATTTACAGACAGATCGAAGAATTTTTAATATTATTTAATTTAATATTAATAAACGATATCGCTATATAATCGTTGACTAACTATCGAAAGTCAACGGTCAACGATCATCGACTGCCCTAGCTGAGTCGCAGTCCTGTATTCGTCCCTGGTCTCGACCACACAACATATTTACAATTTTTGCACGAAATGACAAATTTCTAAAG